TAAAGAGACAAGATTGGAGCTATATGTTAGGAGATTCATCTGGGCAGTATTAAGTGAAATTTTAAAAAAGTATTACTGCATGATTTTAGAATTTTGTCTATTTATGTATCCTACTTATATGTCTAAAAATGATCATACTGTTTTCAAAGTTATAGTACTAATTTGTTGACTCCTGCTCCTCTAATTGTTCATTATAATACTTAGCTTTTCCCCCCACATTTATGGTTCAATATGTCAATATTCTCCCAATCTAATACAAATAGTCTCAAACTGGTTATTTTTATATGTGATTAGAACTGAGCTCCAAAATGATTAAATAAAAGGAAAGCACAAGTGGGGGCTACAACTAAGATAGAATGGTCTGAGAGCTTACAAAAAATTATGTGGTGACTTCATTTCATTTTTAATATGGAAATCAGGTTTAGTAGATTAGAAAAAGGCCCATGGATGTAATATATTTTGATTTCAACAAAAATGTGACAATGTTTCTTATAATATCTTCCTGGATAAGAAATTGTGAGGTGGATGATAACAACATAAGGCAATCTTGAGGCTAATGGGCTGATTATACCCAAAAAGTGCCTACAAATGTATGTTTATCAGCATGCTCAAGTCTCCAGAAGAGTGACATTTTGTCATTGAGTCTGTTCCAACTGGTAGTGCCATTGATGACTTGGTTATAGGTGGAAAAATACTTGTTTAGTTTACTAAAAGATTAATCAAAATCAGATATTACAGAATTCCGATTCAAAAGTACTCCAACAGGTAGGAATGCTGGACTGAAACTAAGAAAATGAAATTTAACAGAAATAAATGTCACATCCTCCAAGTACATAGTCCAAGGCACATGTAATTTTCCAGTAGTTCTTGTGAAGAATAAAAAGGATGGTTTTTAGCTGACTTTAAATTTGAGTTAACAATATAGAGAAGTTGCTTACATTGAAGTTTTGACATAATCTAAAATTTGCCTTTTTATATTCTGGCAAGCACAGAAGTTATAGAGTTTTTTTCTGTGGTGTTTGGCAGTAATGGGGAAATTACTTTCTCAAAGGTTTCTGTCTTGCCAGGCTGCCCCTTTCCTGGTCCTGTGGCTAGAGAGAACAGGGGTTTTGGCGACCTTTTTATGTTTTCATCTGTTGGCATTTCTGAATTGCTGGCTTCCACATCACCCAGCCTCAGATGTGTGTGGAAAAGAAAAAAAGAAAAGCCAGAGAACTCACTGCCATGCCCTTCTTTGGGTTCTGAGATCCCTAGCCTGTCTGCCTTCTCTCCATGTTTCAGTGACTTCTTCTGTTTGTTTTATATATTATGTCTAGGGTGTTTTGGGCTTTTAAGTTGTAATCAGCAGGAAGAATAGGGAAAGTACATGTATTCCATCTTCCTGGAAGCAGTTCTGTCATCTCAGTTTGTGTGGTCTTTATGTATTTCACATTAAGTAGTTTTAAACCATATCAGAGAGTTGAGATAACATTTGTAGAAAAACCAAAATTACTTTAAAATAGGTCTAATGACAAGGCTGAAATTTTTCTTGATAAATAATGCTATATTTAATATTATTTGTTTATGTGAAAGTATGCAGCTGAAAAAATTTTTTAAAAGAATATTATCTGAACTAAAAATTCATGCTATATCCTTGGAGTAAGTAGAAAATTTAGAATATTAGAAACAACTTTGAACTAGCAGTTAGAAACCCAGGTTCTAGTTCAGTCTTCCACTATCCAGCTCTGCGACCTTGGGCAGATCTCTTGGCATCTCAGTATTTTCATGTGAATTAAGATTGTTGGATGATCTACAAGTTTCCTTCTAGCTCTAACATTTTTATTTTCCTCTCAACAATTCAACTACTCTTTTAACAAAGTATGTAGATTTTCTGTAATACAGGATTTAAAATATATTGGTTAAACCAAGTAAAATCCTCGAAATTATGTAAGACAAATAAGGACAGCTATAATTTATTGAATGTTTACTGTGTTCCAGTGCCTATAGTAAGTGTTTTAAAAATATTATCTTATCCAGTTCTCAAAACATTGAAGTAGAAGTTATACTCATTTTGTAGATGAGAAAACTGGGGCTCAGAAAGGTAAAAAATATGTCCAAGAATATTTTGTTGTAAAGATGTATTTGATTCCAAGTCTGTTTGATTCCAGAGATGATGTTCATAACCACTCACATATACTTTTTATTTTATTTTTTTGGCCATTTCTCAAGAAGCGAATTATTTTATAGAAATGGGATCCTAAAGCAAAGGTTCTGGGTAGCTAAGAGATACATTTTATTTTTAATTTCTTCAATCACTTTATTCTGCTTGGATTCATTTTTTTAACTGCTCAAATTATAAGTAAATAAAATAGATGCATACAGTTTGTTTTTTCTGTTTATTCTTATTATTCATCACTTATTTATCAGATATAGGAAGGATTATTACCCTTGAGAGGTAAGGGAATAAACTGAGGATTGTGAACAATCATTACTCAAGAACAAAAATTTAATTTACCAACTTTTCATAAACTTTATAGTATCTCAGGAGTCTCAGGAACTAGAAAAAAATACTGTCTTTATGTATAAATTTTATTCACTTAATAAATGGATAAGGAACCATTTGTAAGACTATTCGAGCTAATCAAAAGGTGGAGGTCAAGAAGAAATTAAAAATGTGGAAAAAGAGGAAACAGAAGAATAGAGAGAGAAAGCAATGCCAAATTTAAGAGTATATAATAATGTTAGCACTTTAACATACTAGTTCCTAAAAATATTTCATAAAAATATTCTGTTTTGGTTTTAAGTTAAATGTGCATGCATTATAAAATGAACTCTTGAATACTCTGCAATTTGTTGAGATCTTATGTTTTCTTAGAACCAAAATTGTGTTTGAAAAGATTTATCCTCTTAATTGAAATCAATTCTATAAGTTTGTGTAAATACCTGGTATACAGTTACGTGGCAAAAGACCCTGAAGAATTTATAATACTATGATTAACATGGAAGGGAGAGGATAACAATATGAGAAGCCAGGACTACATTAATCCTTATTTTGTCCTTTTCTTTCATCATCAAGTCCCCCTAACTTTCCACTGGCTCACTCTATGAGATTTTCTACACCAACCTGCAGGGGTATTCCAATGGAAGTTATTTAAATTTCACATTACTAAGCGTTCTCAGAATTACTGAGGGAACCAATTGTAATGTAAAAAGTTGTTGCAATATCATTCTTTTATTAGGATTTAGGAAGCTGGTAATTGGCTCTGTAATCTTGTTCTGAGATCAGAGTATGCTTTTCTAGGAAAATGATTTTCTTTTCAGAAAGTTACCATGATTTTGCTAGAGAACTGGTTCCTGGTTAGAAGTTTTGCCATAAACCTGTTGTGTGGAGAGGGTATACTGGTGTAGAGAAGCAGCTTTCAAATTATTTTTTTAGTTTTTACTGAAACTAAACAAAGTAAATATCTGGTTCAAACAAAATATTACCTATAAGTCCAAAATAAGACATATAAAAACTGCTCAATTCTGGGTGGAGTGGAAGTGGGAATAGGGCACAGCTCTGTTCTTTGCTCATCCCATTCATGCATGAAGCATTTTCTATTGCACCCCTTAGAGTGTGGGCAGCACAGTTGGAAAAACCATCAGTGAAATATAAAGATCAGTAGATTAGGAACCAAAAGACTTAGAGTCCCAGTCCTGCTATCAGCAAGCTGTATTACTGAAACTCTGTGGGTCCAAATTTCCTCATCTGTGAAATAAGGAGATTGAACTAGGTCTCTTTCAGCTCAAATATTTGAGGGAACCATTAGCAACCACAATGTAAATTACAAAACTTCTGTGCTTTATTTGTTCACTACTGCAAAGTTAGATGCTTACTGAAACGTAAAATTTGCATTCCTACCTCAAAGTTCTAAGTGTCAGGATTTTTTTTTTTTAACCTTAAAAATTAAAGGAGTTCTGTGAAATTTACAATATAAATCTAAAATATCTAATTGTCCTGGTCTAAGCAATTTCACTATTTCCTTCTTTCTTCATTTGGAATAATCAGTGGTATTTCACTGATTCATTCAGCAAACAATATTGAGTGCCCACTACCTGATAGGCACTGTTAGGTATGGAGATGAATAAACAATGTCCACTACTCTCCTCCAAAAATACAAAAGGTAAGGTGTTCTTAACAATATGTTCTTTCAACAGAACCTTATTGATTGTAGGTGATGCTGCATCTTTTCTAGATGATAGGGATGGCTCTGCAAAGGGACATTTAAAAAGTAAATGAAAAGTGAAGTAGTACTCAGAACTATGTATTTAAAACAAGGATAATTTCTTCAAGCAGAATGCTTTGTTGCCGTTGATCTTTGATCAACTTGAACAAAGAGAAATTAATTTTATAGAGTATGAAAGCGCTTTTGCTTTCCCGATAAGCAGAGTATCTCTTAAACATGAAGATGGTTCCACTGCTCAGAGGAAGGCTATCTCCCAGGTGCCACCCATGTTACCCGAATGATTCTGGATTACTACTGGTTTCTTCAGGTGGATTGGGGTCAAGAGGGAAGAGTTTCGAATGAAGATGTCAAAAGAAGCCTTTGAGGATTTAGATGGGAATTGTGAAAGGCCCATTCCCTCTAGACTTAAACCCAAATCCCCTAGCTCTGATACCAGCAATATCCTTTGGGTAACTCTCCCTTTGTTATGCAGACTGGTAGATCTCCCAGCTCAACCCACAACTGCACACTCACTCACCCTGAGAGTGACTCTATCCAAGGTGGAGCTGCCATCCACCTCTTACTCTAGACAATGGCAACGCTCATAGACCCACTCAACTGTTGACTCGTGTTCAAAGGCCACCACCATCACCCATCCAAGCACCATCTTCCAGGAACTGGCCTCTCCCCCATTAGTCCCCGCCCCTCTTCTGAGAGCACCCAATGGGTGGAGTCGGGGCTGTGGTGGGAGGGGCCTGAGGCGGGCACATTTAAAGAAAGGCAGCGGGGGGAAAGGAGGCAAGAGAGAAGAAGAAAGAGAAACCAGCCGTCCAATGACAAAGCCCAGGGGTGGGCGCCGGCCGCCATCTTGTACCGGGCGGCAGTACATTCACCCGCGTCCTCCGCCCTCGGAGGGGGAGGGGCGGCGGCGGAGGCGAGAAAAGTAGCGAGACGCGCCGGGCAGGAGGCGCCAGCAGCAGCAGCCGCCGCCGCGGAGCCGGACGCGGGCGGGGACGGCGGCGGCAGAGGGACCCGGCGAGCGCGGGCGGCCCCCCGAGCGGCCTTCGATGCGGCGCAGCGTGAAGAGGCGGAGGCGCCGGCCCCCGGCCGCCCCGGTTGCGGACGCCCGGGGCGGCGGCTTTAGGGCAGGAGGAGAGGCCGGGCTGGAGGCGCGGGAGGAGAAGGTGGTGTACTCGCGCTCGCAGTTGTCGCTGGCCGACAGCACCAAGGCGCTGGGCGACGCCTTCAAGCTGTTCATGCCCCGCAGCACGGAGTTCATGAGCTCGGACGCGGAGCTCTGGAGCTTCCTCTGCAGCCTCAAGCACCAGTTCTCCCCGCACATCCTGCGCAGCAAGGACGTCTACGGCTACTCCTCCTGCCGGGCCCTGGTGCCCGACCCCCCGGCGCTCCCCTCCGCCCGCGGCCAGACGCGCCGGCCCGCCCCGCGCGCCGCGGCCAGAAGGAGGCGCCGTGGAGTCCGGGCGGCAGCCGCTCGCAGGAGGAAGCCGCCGCCGTCGGCCCCGGAGGAGAACTGCCCGGTCAAGCCCGTTGCCCCCGGGCCCTGCTTCGGGGGCCGCACCCTGGAGGAGATCTGGAGGGCGGCCACCCCGACGCTGACCACCTTCCCCACCATCCGCGTCGGCAGCGACGTGTGGGGCGAGCGCAGCCTGGCGGCGGCGCGGCGCAAAGCGCGCCAAGTCCTGCGAGTGAATCTGGAACCCATGGTGAGGCTCCGCCGCTTCCCCGTGCCCCGGGCGTGAGGCACGGCCTCGAGGGCGCCTCCTGCCGGCCCCCGGCCCTGGGACTGAGCTTCCGCCTGGAGGAATGAACAAGTTGTCAGTCGAGTGTTTACAGATCCGGCCAGGACCCCGTCCCCTAGTGCACTTTACGCGCGAAGAAGTCACCGGATGGTTTTCCCTGCCCCGCGCCCGCGGGTCGCGGCGCCGCCGTCTGGGACTCCGGGGCACGTGTGCCCTCTGCTTCCTCCCAGCACCGGGTCTGCGGAGGGAGGAGACAGCTGGACCCGCGGGGGAGCTCCCTTTTTTTTTTCCTAACCCCAGATTGAGACGTCTCCAGGACTATAGGGGCAGATCCGTTTTCTCCCTTTTGGACTCTACCTCACTGGTCTGGAAGTCCTCCGAAGAAGTCATTATTTTTCCAAAGGAATTTGGTTTCGTGCTTGTGTAATAAAGCCAGAATTTACTTGCTCGTTATCCCTACCTTTTTCTTTTTGACTGCCACCCCTCTTTCTGGACGAAAGATCGAACATGTTTTGTGGTGTTGCACTAGTTTGTGCTCAGGGTATTCTGAATCCCACTCGTTTCCTAATTTTTACTGGATTCCAAAGCTTTGACCAAGGATATTTTTTAAGAGGTTCAAGCTTGTGACTGTTAGTAGTGCAAGGATTTGTATGGCTTTGAATTTCATGGGCTCAGTGATTACAAACAAAGAGATGCAAAGTACAACTGTTTAAACATTTTTAAGGTGTTTCTAAAGATTTTATATTGAAATTTAATGTTTATATTTACTGAGCTCCTAAAGAAAACGGTAGAATACACATATAAAGTTTTGTTTAGGAAAAGTAGACTTGTTAAACTCTTTTTAATTGAATAAAAATTAAAGTGCATTGAAACCACATGGCTTGTGATAAAAAAGAATAAATTGTGAAGGATTGGTGTTGGTTACAGGAATGACTGGAATCCAGTTGGAGATGATTTGGCCCCATGTCCTGGTCTAACATAATATCCAGGAATATTAATGCGAGGATAATTTATTTTAAGATGGGAGTTGCATAGGAGAGATGCATGTGTGTAAACATTGTGATTAAAATGATGAACAGAATACCCATTAGAATTACCGGAACTATTGATCTAGAGGGGTGGGGGGCGTTTCTTGGTATCAAATAATTGGTTGAGGTAACTTTGGACAAAATAGATCTTTTTATTTCCTTCTTTGTTTTTGTTGTTGGTTAACAAGAAATGTCTGGACTAATATTCATCAATTTTATAAACGTGACAATTAGTTGACTTTTTTGTCCCATGATTTTTTTAATCTTCTTTCCATTGATAATTATGTTTGCAGTTCTGGGTCTTTGTTTGACAGCTGAAGACCACAGGAATCAAACAGGCAAGCCACACAAAATACTGACCCTTCTTTTGTACTTTTATAATACTATTTATACCATATGGCCCAGTGTGGAATTCTTGATTATACAAGTGCCTTTGGTCGTTGGTGGCAGCAAGACTTAATAGTTTTTAGCCAGTGGTGCCACAGTTAGCTTTTACTGCAATACCTAAAGGGTCAAGTAGTGTTTTGTACCACTGTTATTTCAAGTTGAAGTATTCTGCCATGGAACGATCCGTACTGGGCTGGAACTTGACATGTGAAATCCTCAATGCTAAGGTTTATCTGTGCTTGGCAGCTTCTTATAAGAATAATGAGTTGCAATTTTGACTCTACTATTCCTAGAATTCAAATGGCATAGCTTTCTGAAATGAATATTTGAAGTTTAATAGTCCATAGTAGCAGTATTGTGACTTTGATTTCAGTGTTTTTATTTTGTAAAAAAAAAAAAATATGCATATATGACTTTATGCCAGTTTCCTAGTAAGCCTCATAGTCTTTTATTCACTACTCAATGATAATGCATTGTTATAAACACTGTCACACGAGTCAATAAAAAGTGAATAATTACCTAGAAGATGGATAGTGTTAAATTATATATGTATGATAGGAAGCTTAGACATACTCTTTTGATTGATAGCTTCCATTGCCAATTGTATTTCAGATACATAGGGTTTTCTTCCCCAAGAGATACTAACTTTTATAGCTAACTAGCAGCTGAAAAAACCCATATTTGTACCACTTCACTATTGTATATAGTTTTATAATAATTAAAAAATCCAGTGGCCATATTAGAATGTAATTTCAACATATAGCTTATCTAGATAGTTTCCCAGAGAATTTTGAAATGAGGCTTAGCTGGGAAGATAATTTTGCTCAGCACACAACTGAAACATAACCATTGATACCAAGCATTTATTTTTACTGAGATTCTTGACATTTTTTCTCATTATGCCTTGTTACTTTAGTGCACTTGAACTCGCATAAATGCTTCTTTGGATTATTTGGGGTGTCTGATTTCAGTTTGGAAATGATTGCCCATCCTAAATTCAATATGGTATTCATCTGGGCTATTAAAAAATAATGTCATTTCTAGTTTGTGAAATAAGATGTAAAAAAATCTTTATTTTTGCCAAGTTTTCTTTAGCAAAACCTATGTTACGACTTCTAAAATGTGAAGAAACATCTAATATAGTTGAGTAGTATAGTAATAGAAAAGTGAAAGTATTCCATAGGTACTTTTGGGCAGAATGTGAAAAGAAACTTGGCACAGTGGCCTTTATGGAGAGGCATCCATTTACTGTCTCTAATGTGAGTCTGAAGCTTAGCTTGTGTATAGTTTTTAAAAGAACTCCCATGATCTTTATTCATTCTCTTGCCTTCTCTTATATTTCATGTGGCACAAGTAGAGGGGAAGCTAGGAGGAAATCTATCACCTTGCTATGTTTTTATTTAATTTTTAACTCTTGAGTGCCTCAATGTGGTGACTGGCACCTCAAATAACCCTTTGAGATTCCTGATGTCATTTTATCCTCCTTCCTGTCAACCAGCAACTTAATTTTACGTTACTGAAACCAGTAACGTCATGATTGTTGAGGGCAAGCTTCATTGTTGATAGTGCAAAGTGTCGCTGTTGTGGTGTGTATTTATTTTGTCCAAGTTTGAGTACACTGTTGGACAAGTGTAACTTAAACTGGTGATCGACACTTATTGATTTGCTATGTGCAAATGATAGTATTATTTTCCAGAAAACTCTAAAATAAATAAACCTTAAAAATATCTGAATACAGAAAATCTGAGCAATTTTGAACTCAAATTTTTTGTTGTTTTAAGGGTTGCCACAGCACTCTTTCAACTGGTGGTTTTTAATGGATGCATATGCTTAATATTTACTTTATTGGTGTGTTTAAAATATTTTTTGATAGACTGTTTTGTCTTAAGTGCATTAGAAAGCAATTGTTTGTAATGGAACCGAAGTGTTTCCCTGGACAGTTTAATGTGCATATGATTAAGATTTACAATCTGGTTGTACTTTGCTTTTTAACTTATTAACTGTAAATAAATTTTAGAGAATACACAGTGTCCGGTTTGTCTAATGATGTTGAAAATTTTTGGTATTGGATTTTATGTTTGCATGTGAATCAAAACATCTTAATTTGCAATTTGATAAAGTTTGACTTTTTTGTAAGCTTCAAACTCCTGGAAATCTCAAGATGTGTGTTTTGTGTTCCATCAATTCTTTAATTATCTAGTGAATCTCTAGCAGTGCTTCAAGCCCCAGCCATTACCCAGTTTGCCAGCAATAAAAACTCTGTTAAAAAATGCATTAAAATTCAGGGTTCTGGATCATGACCCCAAGTCTCCTTGTGGTGATGACAAAAGGTCTAAAGCTCTCTCCCGTTCTTTCATATTATGGGAGAAAGTAAGAGCTCTCTGTATAAATAGCAGCAGTAAAGGCTGTTCTACGGAATAAGGGTAGGGCTAGAATTTTCATTGTAGTCTAGAAGGCAGAAGTGGAGCAAACTCCACAGCGAGGGCAAGATTCATAGTACTGTGTGAGCTGTATTTGTATTTTGAGCTGTATTTGTCTTTGTACCCAAGTTCCTATTAGTAGTTGGAGGCAGCATAGTGTAATAGCTGTGGAGTTGTGGGGCCTGGGATGGAATTAGGCATGGCTTCATGACTTGCAAGTGTTGGGACTCTAGGTAAATTAGTGACTCTTTGTGCCTTCAGTTTCCTCAACTATCACATGTGGTTAGTAAAAAACTATCAGGCTGTTGTAAAAATTGAAAGGGATATTCATGCTAGATAGATAGGAGGTATAATAAATGCTGTTAGAGGTATGGATGCTGAGAATAAGTATAAATGCTGAGAGTGGTCTGTTGGGAGTTTAGCTCTCCAACTTTTTCAGCATCTCTGGAATAGCATGTGGTCTGAGAAAGCTATAAGACAAATTAAAAGAAAGTAATTTGTGGGTGTATTAAACTGAAGATGTAAATGATACACTTTTTAGCTTGCTCACTATACAGCAGGAAGTTGGATTCAGTTGATTTATTACCATTTTCACTGTTAGAGGTTTTCTTTAAAATATTGGGCCTTCTTTTGTCATATCTCTGAAAGACATTTAAAATGTGCTATGTATTTTAAACTATCTGAGGATTTGTTAAAGTAATAGATTAAAGTTACTGATCCAAGAACTAGCACAAGTTTTGCACTAAATTTTCACTTGGATTAAGTTCAGCAAGTGTTGCTTAAAAACCATCTTAATTGACATGCACAGAGCCAAGCTAGAATTAGTTTGTATGAAGTTTATACTTCAGGTGTTAACTAAAACAAAATGAGCAGAAAATTACTACTAAAAGTAAAAATATTCTCATATCTGAAGCATTGACACAATCACTTTTGGATGTCAGAGATAAAGCCTATAATTTATCTCTAATTTCTCTTAGCACAAAGAATAACAGGACACTCTCTAAGCTGATGAGCAAGCCAAAGTGGTAGTGTCTGAAGTTGCCACAAAAGAATTCCCTGGAAAAGCATTTGATGGAAGTCATGCAGAAGCAAGAAGCTCAAAATTGAGCCTGATTGCAGATTTCACAAAAGCAAGGACTTCTCACTGTCAGTGCTCTCTTTTATCTTGGCAAATGTTGTTCCTTAACCATGATCTATAACATGATAAACATAACCAAAGCCCAATTGGAGGGTAATAATCATAATAACACCAAACATTTTTAGATCAGCAAATTTGAACAAATATTCTACTGGACTCAAAACTGAACTTATTTAGCTTCTGAAAGTATTCATAGAAAAGTTAAATTGAGATTCTTCCAAGTAGTAAAATTAACTGTAAAATGTCTTTCTCTCTTCTAAGATTTTTTCGAGTACATATTCTTTAACTTTAAATGTTTATTTAAAGAATATAGAGAAAAGGGTGTGACTTAGGCTTCTAAATCTCACATATTAAAAGAATTATTGAAGCAAAAATATATGTATTAATATAAAAAGTACATATATTACAAGTGTACAGTTTGGTGAATTTTCACAAATTCAATAGATTCATGGAACTGGCACTCAGATTTAAAGAAAAAACATTATCAGTACCTCAGAATTCTCCCCAGTGTCCCTGTCAGTCCTTACCCACTCACTCTCCCCCCAAGATAACCAAGCATTATTCTGACTTTTTACAGCATAGATAACTTTTACCCATTTTTGGACTTTGCGTATATGGGATTATGTGTCATGTGCCTACCTTCTTTCGCTTGAAATTGTTTTTGTGACATTCATTCATATCGTTGCATGTACTGTAATTGTAGATCATTTATTCTCATTGGAGTATCGAGTTCCATTGTGTGAATACTCCACAATATTCAACTCTTTATGGGCATTTGGGTAGATTATGAATAAAGCTTCAATGAACATTCTAGAACATGTCTTTTGGTGAACATGTGGTTTTTTTTGGTATTTATCTAGGAGTGAATTTTCTGGGTCACAGAAAATGATCAGTTTTGGTAGATGCTGCTAAACAGTTTTACAAAGTGATTGTATCAACTTACATAGACTCTCATAAAACTCATCTTTAAAAAGTTTGCTTTGTGTAGTACTGTTCTTTTCTTCTTCAAAGCTAAAGAAGTTTTGTTCCTTCCGCTGTTAATATGAAACGAAAAGACATTTTCTCCCTACGTTTTCTTCTTACCATTTTAAAGCTGAGCTTTTAAAAAAGCCTTTTACATATTAGTTCTTTTCCTCTCCATCCTTTGTACAAAACCAGTGTTCTGAGATTAGAAATAATGTTGACTATTGTTAACCCAAGCCCAGCAAACTTAAGTTGTCCCAAAACCAAGCATGGGAAGAAACTTTGAGTCCATAGCATTCCCAGCCCTTGGGCAGGATTCCAGTGAAATAATCGGTAACATAGTGGAGACCCTGCCTTGGCAAGGAACTGTCTGATTTGACCTTATATGTTCATTATTCTAGAAAGCTCGGCATTAAGAGGACCGAGGGATTGGATGGCAGGAGAGTGGGGCTTTGAAGAAGTGTAGAATGTTCAGGTTTGCTTGAAGCCAACTGAGAAGAGGAAAGTTCCATCTTGGAAGGGGTTGGCTCACCAGGGCTCAGCTCTCACTGTGACATTACTGAAAAACGTACTCATGAGAACCCACATGAAGGATGCTTTCGGAACTTTAAAAGGGAATTGTTCCTGTTTCTTAGTGAGGAAAGGGTCTTGGGAGATAACTTACTTCACCCTTGCAAGTTCGCAAGGCTTCTCCACACCAGGCTCTGTTATGTTGGGATTACGTCTTTATGCATCTCTTTCTTCCCTCCTGGATTGCGGATTTCTCATTGGCAGGACTCATCTTTCTCATCTTTGGATCATGACAATGTTGCTGGCCACATGAGCAGTGCTCAGTGATACTGAATGAATAACTTGTTTCTATGGAGTTCAGACAAACCTGGGACACTGGCTCCCAAATACACAGAAGAACTAGCTGTGTTAGTTCAGTTTTGTGTGTAACAGGAGCAATCTGTAATAGAGTTCTAATTTTTTACAGAAATCTATCAAATGAACGTTTGATGAATTCCTAGCATTTTGTGATCAAACAAATTGAAGACTTAGATGTCTCTTAGGATCATCCTTGCAACCCAGTATCACTTATAATCAGAATCCCTCAGCAAAAAACAATGTAGTGGCTTGAAAATCCTTCCTCCCTCTCTTGCTAGCAGTAGACCTTTTGGCAAGCTGCTTAACATCTCTGTTCCTCAGTTTACTCAGCTGTAAAAACAGGCACAATATAGCACCTACCTCATAGAGCTCTGATGAGAATCAAATGAGGTAACACATGTAAAACACTTAGAATAGTGCCTGGAATGTGGTTAGCCTCAAGTCAATAAATGTTAGATTTTATTAGTAGTAATGTAAAAAAAAGCTTTATAAAGTCTCAGCTTGCTTACTTGAAATTTTTATATTGGCATGTGTTGAAAGCAAAGAACAACAGCTGCAGTCCATCAAATGTCAATGACAGTCAAACTCATGTGGGAGATTGAGGTCAAATTCACTAAAAGTGGTTTGTGCAAAAGAATGCTGTAGACATCATGAGAAGCACAATGATGCACAAGACTCAGTACAAGCTGATAGCAAAATATTAATAAGAGGGAATACAGAGAGTGATAGAAAAATCAAATCAACATTGATTTAATTCCAACCATGCACTAAGTACTATTCCAATCACGTTTATGCTTGTTTTTCTTTTAAGCAAACCTCAACAATCCCATGAGATAGGTTATTATCATTCATATTTCATAGATGACTAAACTAAAGCTTAGAGAGTTTAAGAAATGTGCCAAATATCACACATTTAGGTGGCAGAGCTAGGATTTTAAAACCACATCTGTCTTATCTCATTTCCTCTACTAATCTTTATAAACATTTTTAGAGGAAGTGAAATAAATTAATCACCCCCTGGGGGAATCTACGGTAGGACTGTGAAATCCCAAGGTGGAAAACAATCAATTAAAGAATCCTGTTTTGTTCGCCTTTGCATTTCTCATGGTGTACAGCATAGGTGTTCATTCAATGTTCAGGAAATGAATAAGTCTATGAATGAATGAAAAAAAGCATCAATTCCATTGCTTCTGTGATTAGGTTATTTAGTTTGGTGGAGGATCTCAGGGCAAATCTGGTTTATGGTCTAAACAGTGATTGTGGTTTTGTCTCCTAATTGCCACAAGCAGGTGAAAGAGAAGGTTATTTAATGTAACATTTTTCTCAAATTACGTGTAAGCCAGTAAAAAGCAGACTTCACAAATCTGAACATGGGGAGTAAGATGCAGTTTTAAGCCCTCCCAGCCCCCAATTGCCATCCTGGAACCTCTCTGTGTTGGAATTCTGCAGCCCCCCACTGCAGACACCTCTTTCAATTTATAACGATATCAATTCCGTAGACTGCTACAAGGTAGACAAGGGGCTGATTATACTCTAATCCCCTTTTACCTCCTAAACACCTTTGTGAAGTTTTAATTCCCTGGTTTTACTTAGATAAACTACAGAGCTGACAAGCAAACAAAAAAAACCTCGGATAA